TTATTGAGTTATTGAGCTATAGGGAACAATTGAATACAGATAGAGTTTATTATGCTAGAGAAATTATAGATAGATCAATAGAAGAGCTATTGAGTATTTAGATAGATAGTATTGGGCATTTGCCTCCAAAGTGGATTTTGAGTTATACATAGGAGAAAAACCTGCTTTTTCTTACCATAGGGGCTCAAGATTAGGGTAGAAGAATTCCACAATTCATTATACCTTTTGGAGGAAAGTTGCCTCAATATCAAGATACCTATCTGACCGCATCTCGGCCTATGAACCCACCCGGACTTTGAGATCTTCCGGGGAGGCCCTGCTTTCGATCCCGCCAGCCTCTCAAGCACGGTTGGCGGGGACGAGAGATAGGGCCTTCTCGGTGGTGGCTCCTCGGCTGTAGAACGCCCTTCCTGTAGAGGTTAGGCTGGCACCATCTCTCATGACATTCTGTAGAAAGTTGAAGACCTGGATGTTTGTGCAGGCGTTTGAGTAATTCAGTGCAATTCTGGTAATTTGAACATAGGAACGGAACAATGGACGACGAATTTGGATCATGCTTGGATGATGAGGCGATCGGGTTTTTGTGATAACTGTGTATTGATGTTTGTTTATTGCTAGTAATGGAATTGTGTAGTTTAACTGTTATGGTATATTGATTGCTGCTGTTTTTACTGTCTTTGTTGTTTACTGTCTGGAAACCGCTGTGAGTCGCCCTCGGGCTTGAGATACAGCGGTATACAAGAATAGTAAATAAATAAATAAATAAATAATATCTGTACTCATTGACTGTTGGTAACATTCATAAGCTGAGCCAAGTCTACAAGGACTTTGTTAATAAATACCCTGTTTGCTGTTTTAAACCTGAAGTGGACTCTGTTACTCAGAAGGTTTGAGCCTCAAAGAAAGACCCCAGTGATCCGCCCAGGCAAAGAGTATGGCCCACGAGGTCTCTTCTAACTCTATGATTCTATGGTGGATACTAGGGCTGGGCGGTTTCGTTTCGTAATTTCGTAATTTGTTAAAAATTCGTTATTTTTTTGTTACGAAGCGATAATGAACCATTCAGAAGCATCTAAAAAACGAAACGAATTTTTCAATTTGTTTCGTAATTGCTTCGTATTCGTTTCGTATTCGTTTCGAAATCGTTTCGAAATTGTTTTGTTATTATTTCCGCATGTCTGGGGCACGTTTTATAGCTGTTGTTTGTTTAATCAGTGAAAAAAAATATAAATATCACACCAACAGTCAACAACAGAAGGAGAGGGAAGCTTCAGAAGTTCCCCCTGTCCCATATGGAGGTTTTTTAGCGTATTGCGCGGTCGCGTCCGCCATTAACGAATCGATTCGTATTCGTTTCGTATTTGTTTCGTATTATTTCGTAATTTTACGAAATTCCGTAAATATCGAACTTTTTTAAAGAAAAATTTCGGAATTCTTTTAAATATCGAAACGCAAAAACCCCCAAAAAATGAATCGAGTTTAGAAACAATTTTTTCCGTGGTTGCCCAGCCCTAGTGGATACGGATAAGGATGGCAGCTCACTCATTTCCATTTTGTGCCCACCCTAGTCATTTTGGCTTCTTAAAAGATCTGGAGGAAACGTCAGAGTTTTGTATCATATGTTGCCTGTGCAACTGAGGAAGCAGCAAATGACCTACTTCTGAAGGAACAGGAGGGCTTTGGCAGGAGCACCTTGGGGAGTTTCAAAAAGTGAATGAAGCTGCGGTGCTGACAGGCACATGAGCGGAGGCACTGCCTGGGGGAGCTGGCCGATTAAATTCCAGGTGCTGCTGAGCGAGGTTTGAAGGGAATGAGATCAGCTCTACTTGGCTTGGCAGCCGTGGCAAACCCTGCCTAGGTCTGACACGTAGGAGCCGCTCAGGTGCTTGGAATGCAAGTGTCATGCCTGAACCTGATCGTATGTGTTGGCAGCCAACTGGAGGATTAGCTGGAGCAGCTGGTGGGTGCTGTTCTCTGGGTCTCCAAGACTCATACTTGAGAGTAAGAGCATGTTTAGGGGAAATGCAACAAAAAGGTTTTGGTACATCTGACTTCTTTGGGATGTGAAAGAGGCCGACATGTCACTCTCAAGAATACATTCCCGCTAGTATTTGTTTTGAAGACGTTTCCTGGGCAGAGCTCTCTCCCCTTTTCTGTTTCATCTCGGCTGTACAGGCATGCATGTACTTACAAGCATTCTGGAGGGGGAAAAAACATTCAGTGCAAATCTGGACTTTGGAAGATAATTAGCATCTAAAATAAGCCACATGGTATTTCTATAGGAAATTAAATTTAGCTGTTATGTCTTACGGTTTTGTTAGGCAAATTGTTGATTAACAATCTGTTAATGGACAATTTGTCTAGCAAACCATAAGGCACAATACTTTTTGTTCTGGAACGGCTCTTCCAGGGGCTCCAATTTCATAGTCCTAAGTTGCAGGGACTTTTGCAGATAGGTGGCTTCCTTTGGCTGCATTCATAGGGCAAGCCACCTGTCAATAATAGTTAGGATCCCTGGTCCCGCCCCTCTCTGGGTTTTTTGGAGGGAAGGGGCCATTTTTCAGTTAGTCTCAGCAAAGGAAGTCTATGCAGAGGATGTATACAGACGTCCTCCTGTACAAAGGCTTCGTCCCTTAAGACTTCCCGGGGGAGAACAGTCTTAAGAGCCTCTAAAGATTCCCAAAGGTTCCGGGGAAACAGCCTTACAGCCCTGAGGAATTCCGGAGGGAATAACAGCCTTAATCGTCAAGATCTCCAGCTAAGTGACTACAGGCCTGCTGGTACGTCTGCTCAGTTCTGAGACGCAGTTCAGCCGGTAGTGGATTCAAATCAGTCAGGTTTAGGTTCACAGTAGCCTGGGAGGAGCTAGAAAGGGGATTTTTCCTTTGAACAAAGTTATTGAAGATAGTGCCTGTTCCCTGTGGACAAGTTTGAGAGAACTGGTTCCTTTACCAAGAAGGATTTACAATTCCTGTTTGTTCATCAATAAAAGATTGTTATATTTAAGCTCAAGCCTCCTAAAGACTGTTTAATGAGGGAAATTTCTCTAAAAGCTCCTTTTCGGGCCCCCTGATTTCCCGCTGGATTCAAGCCATACATCCTCTTTTAAAGGCACTTTGTTTTAGGTCCAACGGCGACAGAACACTTTTCACAAATGCTCCAGACTTTAAAAGTTGTGTTCACAATATTGGGCTGGAAAATTGCCATGTATCCAAATTTTGTATAATAATAATAATAATAATAATAATAATAATAATAATAATAATAATAATAATAATAATAATAATTTATTTGTACCCCGCTGCCATCTCCCCATGGGACTCGGTGCAGCTTACATGAGGCTGAGCCCGAACGCAACAATACAAGCAATAATCACAACAATACAAGCAATTAAAATAAAACATAAACATATAACATTATCAATGAGACAACATACAATTAAAACTATGGGAAGGCCAAATGTAGAATTAAAATTGGAAATAGTGCTGAACATGGATGAACAGGTGATAGTGGCGTTTGTGGAGAGACATATGAGCAGACCTAAAAAATGTAAAGTGCTTTAGAGGGACAAAGTATCAGCTACTTATGCACATTAATAACTGTAATATCTATTCATTTGTGCTTACAGTGACCTGGCAAATGCCTTAATCCAGATACAATACATTGCCTTCTCACCCAGTGTTTTAAACCTTTTAATCCTTGCTACCGGCCCTGCCCACTGTGATTTATTTTCTGTGTTTAAATAATTGTGATTTTACATTGCTTGATGTGCTTATTTATATTGTTTCTTGTATTTTATTTTCACTTTAATTTTTATATTTTACTTTCATTGTATGTTGCTTATTTGCATTGCTTTATTGTTGGGCTTGACCTCATGTAAGCCGTCTCAAGTCCCCTTGGGGAGATGGTGGAGGGGTATAAATAAAGATTATTATTATTATTATTATTATTATTATTATTATTATTATTTGAAACATAACAAGGTGAGTCCACAGCAAATACTCTGCTGGCTGTTGTATTGGATCACATGTCAGACACTTCCCAAGTGTCTAGGACTGTGTGATGTATCGGCGAATCATGCGTGCAGATCCCAGTAAGGTGGCCTTCTGCTGCTGGCAGATGGTAATTTTGTCAGTGCCGATTGTGTTTAAGTGCAGGCCAAGGTCTTTAGGTGCTGCACCCAGTGTGCCGATCACCACTGGGACCACCTTGACTGGCTTGTGCCAGAGTCTTTGCAGTTCGATCTTTAAATCCTCATATCGTGTCAGCTTTTCCAGTTGTTTCTCTTCAATCCTACTGTCACCTGTGATTGCAACATCAACAATCCATACTTTGTTTTTCAACACGATCGTAGGGTCAGGAGTATTGTGCTTCAAAACTCTGTCTGTCTGAATTTGGAAGTCCCAAAGTAACTTAATGTGTTCATTCTCTGTAACTTTTTCCGGCTTGTGATCCCACCACTTCTTTGTCGCAGGCAGATGGTATTTGTGGCACAAGAACCAATGAATCATCCGAGCAACGGTGTTATGCCTCTGCTTGTAGTCCGTCTGCGCAATCTTCTTGCAGCAGCTGAGGATGTGATCTATTGTTTCATCTTCTTCCTTGCAAAGTCATTAATAATAATAATAATAATAATAATAATAATAATAATAATAATGGTTGTAATACCCTGTAGAAACTTATTCCCAGGGCAATTTACTTGGCACTTATTTTTACGTAACAAGAAAGGATGAGCAAAGGAGAAATGCCACTGCCAAGAGCTTTTCGGAGAGCTCTTGGCAGCGTCGTGTCTCTGCCTTGGTCTTCCTCTCATCCTGGGGCCATGACAGGCCATTATGCTCACAGGCCGAGAGGAAGGCCAAGGCAGATGAGATCCAGAGGGAGGCACCCAAGCTGAATGTAGTCTTCAAACACCAGATGACAAATTAATTATGCAAACGAAGGTCTAAAAATGTTGTGCAGGTCTATTTTGTTTAATAATCATTCTCTTTGGTTTTCAGCTTGCGATTGCAATGGGAAATCCAGACAGTGCATGTTTGACACTGAATTACTCAGACGAACAGGAAATGGTTACGTGTGCCTCAATTGTATTGACAACACAGAGGGGCCTCACTGCGAACGGTGTAAGGAGGGTTTCTATCGGCAGCGTGATCAAAATGGTTGTGTGGCATGCAACTGCAACCCTACAGGTAAGCAGGAATGTAGGAGGAACATACATTAATTGAACCTTAGCCACCTTGAATTCAAAACAATTAGCTATAGTAGTGGTGCTGGAGCTTGCTATTGTGTTGTTGTCCATATGTTATGTTTTGAGGTGTACATATAACACAATATATGCTCACAATGGAGGCCCGGATCTCTGCTGTGAGCAGATCTGCGTTTTACCACCTACGTCAGGCTAGGCGACTGGCTCCTTACCTATCTAGGAATGACCTGGCTACGGTGATCCAGGTGACGGTCATCTCGAGACTTGACTGCTGTAACGCCCTCTACATTGGCCTTCCTTTGTCAGTGATCCGGAAACTGAAGCTGGTGCAAAATGCGGTGGCTCGTCTTCTCACTGGGGTGCCGGCGAGCTGTCGTATCACCCCAATTCTACAACAGCTGCACTGGTTTCCGATTGAGTACCGGATTACTTTCAAGGTGTTGGTACTAACCCTTAAGGCCTTATATGGTCTGGGGCCGGCGTACCTGAGGGCCCGCTTATCCCTCTACCAACCCCAGAGATTACTTCAGTCCGAGGACCAAAATTTGCTTGAAGTCCCCAACATCCGGACTTATCACCTGTCCTCTACTAGGCAGAGGTCCTTCTCGATTGTAGCCCCTTATTTATGGAATGCCTTGCCAGTTGAAACCCGAACTATCCCAGACCTACATGCTTTTCAGAAATCCTGTAAAACCTTTCTCTTCTCTTTCGATGCCATGCACGAAAATCATGTCACATTTAATGTTATCTTGTTTGTCTTGTCTGTATTGTTCGTTATATGGACATGTACTTTGCGTCAATGTTACATGTTTATTACTGTGATAAAACCAATAAAAATTAATTTAAAAAAAAAAATAAAACCTTTCTCTTCCAACAAGCTTTTGATGGGTGAATAACCTGGGACTATGTCTGTTCTTGTTTTATTGTATTTTAAAGTTAATTGTATTGTTTTAATCTACTGCTGTAAACCGCTCCGAGCCAAATTGGGAGTAGCGGTATACAAGTCAAATAAATAATAATAATAATAATAATAATAATAATAATAATAATATATGAATGTGACAAACATACAAATTGGCACCATTAGACAGCCAAGATTGCCTTCAGTTTCCTGTTAAGCAGGTACCCATTTTCCCAGTGAGGATCAAACTTGTCAATATGTTCAATTACATTTTCAAAAGGGGAGTCCTTCAAGTGATAAAAAATGGTTCATTGTTAGAGGAAGTAATTTTTCTCACCTACACATTTTACATTCAATATACTTTCTTTTGTCATTGATGGTTAGAAACTAAACATAGACCTAATGTCCAATCTCGACAAAATAGTGAAGAGTAGAGACATCACACTGGCAACGAAGATCTGCATAGTCAAAGCAATGGTATTCCCTGTAGTCACCTACGAATGTGAGAGCTGGACCATAAGGAAGGATGAGCAAAGGAAGATAGATGCTTTTGAACTGTGGTGCTGGAGGAAAACTCTGAGAGTGCCTTGGACCACGAGAAGGTCCAACCAGTCCATATTTCAGGAAATAAAGCCCGACTACTCATTGGAGGGAAGGATAATAGAGACAAAGTTGAAGTACTTTGGCCACATCATGAGGAGACAGGAAAGCTTAGAGAAGACAATGATGTTTGGGAAAATGAAAGGAAAAAGGAAGAGGGCAAGGGCAAAATGGATGGATGGGATTCTTGAAGTGACCGGCTTGACTGAAGGAGCTGGGGGTGGTGACGGCCGACAGGGAGCTCTGGCGTGGGCCGGTCCATGAGGTCACGAAAAGTCGGAAACGAATGAATCAATGAACAACAACAATGTTCATAATTGTAGGAAATTCACATTCCCCCTAAAGTCTGTTTGGACCCTTGGGTTTGTTGGGATGCAGTCTTAGAAAAAGACTGGAGACAAATTATATATTTTTTGTCTTACAGTTGACTTGAGCTGATTCTGTTTGTGGTTCTAGAAAACTTTAATTTAAACTCTGCAATGCATTTGATGCCATTCATGTGGATGTTTATTTAATAAAAGAGAGATTCTTTATAAGATAAATAGGATTTCAAGACAACATAGAGCTTATATTTGTGATTGGAATGGACTGAAACAAGAACCTGTATTAGATTATTATTATTATTATTATTATTATTATTATTATTGTATTGTCGAAGGCTTTCATGGCTGGAATCACTAGGTTCTTGTGGTTTTTTTCGGGCTATAGGGCCATGTTCTAGAGGCATTTCTCCTGACATTTCGCCTGCATCTATGGCAAGCATCCTCAGAGGTAGTGAGGTCTGTTGGAATTA